ATCGTAACACTGGTTACGATGTCCTGACTTGCTTTATTCAGGATTGTTTCAATAGGTAAAATAACTACTGCAATGGACCTTCACAGGGGAAGGCAGAGTGGGCTCAGTCTAAACGCAGTAAAGGTAGGTGGGGATTTAGAGCCAGGAGAAGGTGTACTGGTGGATGAATCTATAAAAAGATACATTAGAGCTGAGAACCAGTGGTTCATGCCTATAATCCTAGCTGCTAAGTAGGCTGAGATCTGAGGATCATGGTTAGAAGCTAGCCCAGGTAGGAAAATCCAAGATACTCTTATCTCCAATTAACCATCAAAAAAGTTGGTAGTGAAGCTGTGGCTCCAGTGGTAAGGTACTAACTAGCTTTGAGCAAAAGAGCTCAGGGACAGGGCCCCACCCAAATTCCAAACCTTCAAGACTGGCATCAAAAACAAACACATTAAGGGAAGGGAGGGGATTCTGGCTAAAGTGACCTGATAGGATTCTTGATTTAGGCAGGGCAAGGGCAGATGAACAGAGTCCCCTGCAGAGTATGGAGGATGAGGAAATAAGACAGTCATGAAGGGAAGAGTTGTGTCTAAACTGGCTTAGCAGAGTTCTTGCTAAGACTGGGTTTTAGGACTACGTGCATTAATGTGTGGTCAGGGTCCTGACTGCAGTTTGGTCAAGGTAAGAATCTTGGTCAGTGGACATCTTTCCATCTAGCTTTGCATGTGACTAATGTTTAAGGAATGTTTTCTGGTTTAGCAGGTAACTGAGCAACATAATGAAAAGCATAATTATAAGAAATACGTAGGTCCATGGTGCTGAGAAGGTGGCTCAGTGGTAGAGTGCTTGCCTCTTAGGCATGAGGCCCTGTGTTCAATTCCTCAGTACCACATAAGCAGAAAAAAGCCAGAAGTGGTGCTGTGGCTCAAGTGGAATGGTGCTAACCTTGAGCTGAAGAGTTGAGGGACAGAGTTCAGGCCCCACAACCATCCCCCACCAAAACTAAAAATAAATACCTAGGTCCAAAAGTACATAAAATCAGTACCTATAAGATACTTGAGCTTTGTGATCTAGTGACACAAAGTCCACTTAATCTGAAATTTACTAATGGTTTTGCCACTAGATTTACATTTTTCTTCCATGTTATAATTATCCTCAGTCTTTCTAAGAATAATTCTTCAAAATAAATTTCTTATTTCACTTAACTGTGCAAGTTATTTACAAGTATCTTATTTTCTCACTTGCCATGTAACCTATAGTGGCTGGAGGTATGTGATTTTAATAAGATAGAGGGTGCTATCTTTCTATATGAGCTCATATGCAGTGCTTTATGCAATGCTTCATGTTCTGCAAGCTTTAAAAACTTTAGGACCTATGGGTGAGTAGCCCCGTGGGTACCAAACACCAGGATAGCTTGCCAAGCTGATCTTGAATGATTACTTGCTTCTTTGGCTGCTCTGAATATGTATTGACTCATGCAGTCTGCCCAGAAGCCCTGGGATACCAGGAGATGATTTATAGGCCAAAGTACAATTTTTTTTTTTTTGGGTCTGGTCGTGGGGCCTGAACTCTGAGCCTGGGCACTGTCCCTCAGCTCTTCAGCTCAAGGCTAGCACTCTACCACTTGAGCCACAGCGCCACTTCCGGCTTTTTTCTTTTTGCTTATGTAGTGCTGAGGAATCGAACCCAAGGCCTCAGGCATGCAAAGCAAGCGCTCTACCATTGAGCCACCTTCCTAGCCCCCCAAAGTACAATTTGATACATTAGAGTGAGTCCTGGTCACCATCACAGTCTGAATAACCAACATGTCCTCACTTCAAGTCTTCTTTCACATCATCAGGTTTCATCTTGGCTCTGCCCCCTAGAATCCTTACACTGCTCTACTCCTGTGAATTGCTTGCAAGTCCTGGGACTTAATAAATGTGGCCTGGGACATCCACTTGTAGAACCTTGATTTGGGATCCATCTTGAGGCCTTCAGGGAACTTATTCCTTCTTACTCCTGAGCAGAGCCTCTCACCCTAGGTTATGCCCTCATCTGGTAAGCATTTGCCAATGGTCTTGGGTTTTCTCTACAAATAAAAGTGTCACTCACTCTACCACCAATGTAGTACATCCCACTGCGCTGCATCCCCAGCCTTCTAGCTTTTTAAGATGCTTTCTTCTTTCCTGATATATCTAAGCTATAAATTTCCCTTTCAGCAGGACATCATGGTAGCCTATAAATTTTGAGATGCTGTAATCACCTTATATTTAAAATGTTTTCCTCATGATAAAGTAGTATATATCCTAAACATGCATTGTAGCAGAAAAAGGAGCAGTTTGCCCTTATCTCTTTTGAACCACAGTAGACATCCTGGATGTGGACTAACAGTGGTTCTTTTCAAATATATATTAAAGGTTCCCTTTCAAAAGTGCATAAGTGGTAGAGTGCTTGCCTAGCATGTATGAAGCCCTGGGTTCCATTCCTCAGTAACATATAAACAGACAAAGCCAGAAGTGGCGCTGTGGCTCAAGTGGTAGAGCACTAGCCTTGAGCACAGAGAGGCTCAGGGACAGTGCCCAGGTCCTGAGTTCAAGCCCAAGGACTGGCAAAAAAAAAATTACATACACAGTTATCTGAAAGCATGATAAAGATATCATTTTAGAGCTCTTTGCCATTCTATAGTCTTTTAAAAATAGCAAAATAGTAGTTGTAAGTATACTCAGCAGAGACATTTGTTTTGTAATATGACCACTTAAAAAGAGAAATTGCTACCTGGCAGCAGTGTTTCACACCTGTAATCCTAGCTACTCAGGAGGCTGAGATCTGAGGATTATGATTGAAGCCAGCCTGGGCAGGAAAGTTGATGAGACTCTTACCACTAATTATTCACAGAAAAAGCCAGAAGTGGTGTTGTGGTGCAAGTAATAAGAGTGCTAGCCTTGAGCAAAAAGTTCAGGGACTGTGCCTAGGCCCAGAGTTTGAGCTCCAGGACCAGCAACAGAGAAGGGGTTGGGGACTGCTAGAGGCTCACGCCTGTAATCCTAGCTATCTAGGAGGCTGAGATCTGAGAATTGCAGTTCAAATCCAGCTCATCCAGGCAAGTCCATGAGACTCTTATCTCCAATTAACCATAAGAAAAAGAAAGCCAGAAATAGAGCTATGGCTCAGTGGTAGAAAACTAGCCCTTGAGTTCAAGTCCCAGGACTCACACCAAAAAAAGAGAGAGAAAGAGAAATAAACTCCTGAGAATTAAGTTGGCCATTAGATGGATGGCTTGGTGGAGGCTGCCTACAGGGGGAGGTACCCACAAGGAGCCTGGAAAGAAGATTAGGAATTCTGCTTTTGCTTTATTGAATAGGTGGTAAGGTCCCCACCCTCCCTATGACCTGTTAGACTAGCATCCCACCTGGGATGATAAAATACCTATGGATTCTTTCCTGCAAATTAATGAAGTGATGGGGCTGGGAAGGTGGCTTAGTGGTACAGTGCTTGCCCAGCATGCATGAATCCCTGGGTTCCATTCCTCAGTAACACATAAACAGAAAAGGCCGAGGTGGTGCTGTGGTTCAAGTGATAGAGTCTTGAGCAAAAGAAGCTCAGGGACAGTGCCCAGGCTCTGAGTTCAAGCCCCAGGACTGGCAAAAAAAAATAATAATGAAGTGAAGCACATACATATGTACTTTAAAGACACCAATGAGAATAATTTTTCAAAACAACTTAAAAAATAAAGTTTCATAAACATAAGCCATTTTTAATATTAATATTTTACAGATTACTTCACAATCAGCTACTCAGATATTGGGAATCATCATTGATTTGTTACCCACACTCAGCAAATCCTTGCTATTCACACTTGAAATGAAATAGAACTATACTGTATTCAGAAATCCACCAGTGAGGGTTGGGAAGGTGGCTCAGTGGTAGAGCGCTTGCCTTGCATGCCTGAGGCCCTGGGTTCGATTCCTCAGCACCACATAAGCAAAAAGAAAAAAAAAACAGAAGTGGCGCTCAAGTGGTAGAGCGCTAGCCTTGAGCTGAAGAACTAAGGGACAGCGCCCAGGCCCAGAGTTCAGGCCCCACGACCGAACCCAAAAAAAAAGAAAAGAAAAGAAAAAAGAAATCCATCAGTGTGAGGAAGTGGCACTGTGTTTCAAGTGGTAGAGCACTTGCCTTGAGCTGAAGGGTGCAGGGACAGCACCCCCAAGCCCAGAGTTCAAGCCCCACGACGGAAAAAAAGAAAGAAAAGAAATCCACCAGTGACCGGGGAAACTCATTAAAAAAAAAACTCTACTAATTATAGGCTACACTATAATCTTATATCACGATTTTATGGGGAGGAGTTTTGGATTTGTGCCAAGTTCAAGGAACAGTAGGTTTTATAGATATAGTCACTAAGTGTATCCAGAGAAAGCTGCAAACTCTCCTTCAAAAACATACTAGCTATGATAGAAAAACAGCCCAGATGCCCTAAAGAGATGAGTGGATCAAAAAAATGTGGTGCATATGAACAATGGAATTTTACTCATCAGAAAGAATAATAATGTTGTCATTTGCAGAGAAATGGCTGGACCTAGAAAAATTACATTAAATGAAATTAGTCGTGCTCGTAGACATGGCACATGTTTTCTCTCATTTGTAAAAGTTAGATGTAAAATACAAACACACATAAATGTATATACAGGGTTATTTGCATATACACAGAAATAGATTGATTAAATGATAGTATACTTAGAGGAGGAGTAACAGTGTAACTCGTTTGAACAAGTAATAAACCATTTAACAAAATGAATACCAGGAAGCTGAAACATGTTGATGGGGGCAAAGCAGTGAGAGGAAGGATGCATGAATGGAGGGAAGAAGGATAAGCAAATGTACAACTATAATGATAGTTAGTTCCAGAGTCTTTGATCATATGTTTGCTTAAGGTAAAGTGAATAATCAACAAAGTGATTCTGATGGAAAATTTAGTTAGCTTGTGCTGTTACAGTCCTATTGTACTACAAATTGTTGTATTTGAATTTTTTTTAAAGCTGATCTGGATCCTCTTGATCAACCAAAAAGAAGAAGAATTAGAAAGCATAAGCCAAAGAAAAAACTTAAAAATCCTAATAAAGTTCCTTTAGAACAAGCAGAATTAGAAGATCAAGCAGAATTAAAAAAACAGCAGAGTCTTTTACAAGAAAAAATACAGCCACAGCACACAGATGGGCCCACAATGAGCAGAAATAAAAAACGGAAGCTGAAAAAGAAACAGCAAATGAGGAGGAAGAAAGAAGCTGGCTTGGTAAAGAAGGCTTCTGGTGTCAGTTTCTTGTACCAGCCCGAGGAGAGCAGCAGTGATCAGGAAGAACTGAGAGGTGCTGTAGGAGAAGGCTCTCAAGACCCCCTTGAGGAGGGTGAGAAGGACCTCAGCGAGGAGGGCACAGCCACAGACGTCTCCCAAGAATATGCTGACATCACCAGCAAGGCAGACAGTGTCCTAAACTTTCTGAAGTCAACACAAGAAATATATTTTTATGATGGTAAGTTTGCCCTTTGAATAATGGTGCTTTGTTAATGTATGGAAAATCTCCAAATATAGTAAAATATATAAATGTTTAAAATATTTCAAGTAAATCATTTCAAGGCAAAAAATCAGACTGTGTAAATTCTACTGTTACGGAGCTGGACTGGTGCATGGCTCCTTGTGCATGGTGTATCTTTGACCTTTGATAGGAATCAGTGGACAGTGCTTTCCTGTTGCATAGTTTGGGCTCATGTTTCTTATTCCCCTAAAGTCAGACTTTGGAGGGAGTGTACTAGTGTTCTGAGCTATATGTCTAAATAAAGATAAATTCTGCTAGAGATTTGACACTCTACATATTTTTAATCTACTAGAAATATAAAAGAACCACAGTGCTGTTTTGTGAGACATTTACTTTGCTCTCCCACATATAACTTACTGATTTAAATTTGCAGTAAAGCAGGTTTTTGGTAACTTTGTATTGATACAGAATATTAAAATAAAAGTAGCTTTATCCTTTCATCATTTGCTTTTTAGCAACTGACCTGATAACTAGAAAGAAGCAAGTACCCATCAGGAGCCAGCATGATCACATGATCACAGCACAAGCTACTCACAGCAAGCAGGATGCATTCCCATTGAGAGGATACCACTGGAGATCCAGAGTAGACGGGTAGATTCAGATGTCAGCCAGACACCTTCCTATTTACATCCTTATTGATGTAACTGAGAAGCATTGGCTCCATGGTATTGGAGAATGCAAATGATTTAAACTGATTTTAACACTGATACAAAGATACCATTAATCTGTCAGTTTAACCAACAAGATGGTTACAAGTGACACGCAATCACCTTTTCCTCATCAATGTTTATTAGCAGGTCTCATTGACACATTGAAACATAATGGCAATAATCAAATGCCACAGATGGGATATATAGCTGATACTCTGCAGAGTAGTAGTAGGATTCAAGAAACTTTAGTAGATTTTCCAATCTGTATATGATAAAAGACTATAGAATAAATAAAATAAATGTAAGACCTACTGGGCTGGGAATGTGGCTTAGTGGTAGAGTGTGCGCCTTGCATGCATGAAGCCCTGGATTCGATTCCTCAGTACCACATAAATAGAAAAAGCTAGAACTGGCGTTGTTGCTCACCTTGAGCAAAAGAAGCTCAGGGGCAGTGGCCAGGCCCAGAGTTCAAGCCCCAGGACTGTCACCAAAAAAAAAAAAAAAAAAAAGAGCTAATGAGGAGACCATCTTTAAGACAGAATTCTAGAATCCCATAGGCAGGGCAGTCAACATTCTGTGGCCACTTGTTTCTTCCAGGTGTTTACTAATTCTAGTTGTAGAGCCTTACATGAATATCTGAGGATGAACTAAAGGAGGCAAACAGATCTGCAATGTATTTGTCCCAGTAGAGTCCAGGTGCTAATAGAAAGGTGGCCAGAATCTGAAACTCAAGTTGGAAGAACAGTAGTCAAGTAAAAGGTCTCTTATGACATTGAAGCCTTGGGCAGTCTTAGGAGCTGAGCAGGCAGGGGTCCATCTTAAGTGCCTTGAAAACAAGCTAAGGTAGAGCATACCCTTTGCCAGTCATGTAGCCCACCCTGCATTAGACTTTGCCCATGAAAGTCAAGTCAACTTCCCCAGTTCTGCTTGGCAAGGCAGAGGGCCAGCCCTCTTTGGAGCAAAGTAGCATCATCCAAGACTTTTGGAGGGTTTTGGTACACATTTAATAAATACTGCTCATGCACTCCAAGAGACAGGAACATATAACAAGAAATCCTACAAAGAGAGCAATAGAAGCAGAAGACAATGCTGCTGTTAGACAGGGATTTTTATACTAACTACATTTAAGATGTTCAAAAAAAGATGAAAACAATGACAATCTATTATAATAATCAAATTTAGACCTGAGAAATATAACTGAAACTTAGAACTCAAAAGATGAATCTAAAGATCAGATTACATTCAGTATAGAAGAGAGCTTGCAACTAGGAAGACAGATCAAAGTAAAGTTCCCAGATGAAGGGTAAAAGAAAAGGAATGAGAAGGTGAAAGTTGAAGAAGGGGCCACTGATAGAGGCTTCAGAATGCGAATGGTCCTACCAACATCTTGACTTCAACTTCAGTCCTCCAAGACCAGGAGAGTATTCTAAAAACTTTTTTTAAAGAGTGAAAAATAAATAAAAGAGCCTAGCCAACATGGACCTAGAGAAAAAGTCTCATACTCTTTTGTTTGGAATCTAAGACAGAGGAGGGAACAGAGCTTGAGCTTTATCTTAGGAGATAGGCTTCTGAAGTGATAAGGGCCTTTGGCCTCTACCACTGTACTACCCTGATTACATTTTATTTCCTCTGATAAATGGCACACAATCATAAGTTTCAACTTCCATGGACCCAAACAGGATTAATACAGATAACATCATTCCCGAGCACATTACAGTCAAGCTGCTGAAAACCAGAGATACAGAAAACAAATCTTAAAAAGCAGCCTGTGGTTGAGTTGCTGGTCTTGAGAAGACAACTCCTCAACTAATGGTAAACTTCAGTATACCCAAGAGAACCCAGAATCATGCTTTTGTATGGTATTCCTTGCTTTGTCCTTAGTATCCAGCCACCCTACTCTGTTTACAAGGATACACAGCCTGTATGAAGAATTTGGTTTCATTGTCTGGTTTTTCTGCTGCTGTCCTTACTTCAAATCCTATGTCACACTTAGGTGTTCAAATATCAGATATGTAAACAGTGGCCAGGTTTCCATGTTGCTCAAACAATGGCACCCCATCCTAGGTTTACTTTTTAGAGTTCTACTGTCATTTTCTCTCCTAGTGCTTTTTTTTTTTGGGGGGGGGGTCTGGTCCTGGGGCCTGAACTCTGGGCCTGGGTGCTGTCCCTCAGCTCTTCAGCTCTAGGCTAGTGCTCTACCACTTGAGCCAGAGCGCCATTTCTGGCTTTTTTCTATTTTTGCTTATGTGGTGCTGAGGAATCAAACCCAGGGCCTCGAGCATGCAAGGCAAGCGCTCTACCACTGAGACACCTTCCCAGCCCTCCTAGTGCTTTTTATATCCCAGACATCTCAATCTAAGTTGTATGTTTGAAGCCTCTTTAAGAGACAAAAACTTACTTTTGGCTTACAAAAGTGAAACTAAACCTCCATGTGATGCTGACTTTTTTTAGGTAACTCCAAAGACTCAGATTCAGCTGTGTGCATGGAAACCACCAAAGAACTGCTACACTGCCTTGAGTCTCATAGCATGCCTCCCTCAGATATATTCATTCTGGACCATATGAAAACACTGCTTCTTCTGCAAGACACTGAAAGACTGAAAAGGGCACTAGAGATGTTCCCAGAACATTGCATGATGCCCTCTGGTAAGTACTTTGAAAATCCTTCCAAACACCAATGGATTAGAAAACAATGCATACATGGCCTAAAAGAGAATAGAGTCCCACAGAGAAATAGGGTCCTTACACATCTGCTTGATATTAAAAAAAAATACTACTGACATAAGCAAAAAGGTACACATCATCTAGTTTTCTAGGCATATGGACTATCAACTCTTAGCTTTTCTAAATTAAAGTACAAGTACCTGCTGGGTACTGGTGCTCATGCCTGTAGTCCTAGCTACTCAGGAGGCTAAGATCTGAGGATCACAGTGCAGAGCCATCCTGGGCAGGAAAGTCCATGAGACTATTATTTCCAGTTAATCCCTAAAAGACTGGAAGTGGAGTTGTCACTCAAGTGGTAAAGTACTAGCCTTGAGCAAAAAACAGGTTCAGGAATAGGACCCAGACCCTAAATTCAATCTCAGGACCAGAATTAAAAAAAAAAATTGAGTCCAAAAATTTATTTTTTCCTTTTCCTTTCCTTTGCTGGATTAACACAAGGAAAAGTATTTCTGCCCTTCAGAGATCTTTTGATACCTCATTGAAATATCACTGTAAGGACAGAGCATTGGATTTTTAGAGTGATCATTCTTTTGCACAGTTTCCCAATCTTTATTGGATACCCATTCTATACAGACTATAATTTGCAGGGTCAGCTATGCTAAGCCCTAATCATGGGCCAGGGAGGATATAAATCCCGAAGACACAAAGTGGAACACAAGGAAAGGAACTGAGCAAGTTTTAGTTGAGCTAGTGACAAGAGGAAACTCAAAGGGCTGTGAGGGGTTCTAAGGCATGCACATTTTCAACTTTAGTGTTTCAACTACATAATCCAGGATCATAATCCAAGACCACCAGGGAATAACTATGAGCCCCTATTCTCCAAAAATCTAAAGCATATAAAAGGTTGGAGGTGTGGCTTTATCGGTAGAGTGCCTACCACAGAAGTATGAGGCTCCAGTTTAACCCAGTACCACCCTTCACAAAAACAACCAGATAAGCAAGCCAAGAAAGAAGAAAGTCACATTGTGGCACTTCCGTAGAAAGCAAGTGAATTTGATAGTAAATAGGAACGGTCATTATTATTGGGGTAGCCTAGAGGGCCCACCACTTGTGAATGTATATTTCCTTCCTTGTAGAGGGAAGGTGTGTCTCATATCTACCTATTCCAGGATCTGCTTGGGTCCTGGCCTCCTTGATGGAGAAAGATATGAAGTTCTTGCCCTTGGTAGTTTGTGTCCTAGTGTGGGAGAAAATTAGCCAGATGAGATGGTAAAAAGCACATCTAAGAGGTGTAGTTGTAGAGGAGAACATAGAGCAGAGAGTAGGTATTCAGAGGAATGGCTTTGGAGAAGAATTTGGAGCAGATGGCAGGTGTCCTGACAGAAATGGCTTATAGGTTGGAGAAAAACAACAACAAAAAAGCAGATGTGGAGCAACAAGGAGGTAGGTGTACAGGAGGAGAGGACACAGCTGAGGAGGCAGCACAACACAATGAGAGCAGGGAGAAGACTTTAGTGGCAGGTTTTACCATCCTCAGAAGGGTCCCTGGGATGCTTTGTTTGGAGTAAAGGTGTAGAATGGAGATCAGGGGGTTGAAATAATATGTGAAGGGCCCCAGTAGAAGTGACCACAGTATGGACCAGAGTCTGGTAACCAGAAAGACAAGTGTGGCTAAGTTCCAGGCAGTCTGTGTAATGGGATTTTCTGGCTGATTGCGTTTGCAATCTAAGGAACAAACTGGTGTTTTGGCTTGAGCCCATGAAAAAGACAAGTAGCCAATCAGAGGAAGAAAGACTACCAGAAGCATTAGGCTGGACATAAAGGCCTGTCATATCCCCAGCTTGGGCAGGTAGGAAATGGAAGACTATAAGGGCTAGTGGCTACATAGAAAGCTGAGAGCCCAGGGATAGAGGCTTCGATAATGTGGGGTAATGAGGGAATCAGAAGAAACTATGAACAGAGGGAAGAGAGAGGGTCAGCTGTGAGGGAAGTTGGGAAAAGAGGCTAGAGGAGGCAGTGGGGTGGAGAGGCCCATGGAAGGAAAGGAAAGCCAGGAAGGCATGTACCTCCAGAGCAGCAGTCAGCACCCAGGAAGGAACCTGGCTTTGCATGCCTGTGAGAATGGGTCAGCTGTCTCACAGCCAGGCGTTCTATATTTTTAGATGTTTGTGAGGCTCCGTATTTGACAAATTTAGATTTCATGGTCGTTGTATTGCAAACTGCATAAAGCCAATTAAGTTAAACTGACATGAGACTTAAGAATTTGGAAGATGAGATTTCAGTTTTTTTTAGTATATGAGGTTTTTTTCCATACTCAAAAGTCTTCTTGTTGTGTCCTGCCATGTATAAAGGCATAGGCAGTGCTGCCAGCAGAATCTGCATTGGGAAAGTTGCTAGTTTTGTACTAAGGTGGCTAGACAAGGTTTATCAACAAGCACATTTAGTCTTGTAAAATTGATTCCCTTGAACATATGGTGGAATATGTTCTTAAAGTTTTTAAGTATCAAGCTATTTTATGAACAAAATTATTAATAATGAAGCTTTATTTTCAAATATAATATCTGTCTAATCAGATTTGGTTTAAGGAAGGTACAGTGTTGTCTTACAACCCTGTTTGTTTTTTCCTACTGGCTCAGTAATTCCTCTAAATCTTAGACATTTCACTTGAGTAGGTATAGACCCCTTTCACACATTCACTGCCTTCACAGTGTTAGGATCAAGCTGGTGCTTTGAAATATGTGGACCTCACACTTGGATGTCACATTGTGACACAAACCTGTGCTACTTAGTCAGGGCTGCCATCCACCAGACACACTCACACTCAGGCACTGAGGAGTGCTGTAGGAATTTCTGTGTCTAGCTCTCCGATAGGCCTCTGTAGAAGTTACTGTCATTACCCTGTGAGGAAAGGCAGTTTCTATGAGCACCTGGGTCTTGCAGGAAAGTGTCAGCTTCAGGAGGGTATCCAAGGGCTTCTGTAGAGTTGGCAGGAGGGCACACCCTGCCCCCTTGGCACCAGTTCTCTGGATCTGATCCAGTCTGGAAGTGAAGCATCAGTATCAGCAGTACTAGATCAACTCTAGGAACAGTGCTGGGTCTGCCCAGATCTGGGAATAGGACCCTCCAGGTCAGTTTGTGCACCCTATGGCTGAGAACTTTAGAAACAGTAGATCATCCATCCTAAACTAGATCTGGAAGTCTCCAGATGTTCTAAAACCAGACATTTGAGGAGACTCTTGGCTTACAGCTACACTTCCTCAGGAAGCCATGGGAATTGACAGGTGATTTGGGGGACATATCCTTCTCCTTGGTCATTTGCTCTGGCTATCCGGGCACAGCATTGGCCTCATGAGAGCTGAGTGCTGTGTGGCTTATAGATCACATTGCTTAGGATTCTGCCTTTTAAGCCTTTTAAGCCAATTTGCATGTGCTTGTTTTTCAGGTGAGATTTATAAATAATGTGGGGATTGTGTGAGATATGAATCCAGTAGGACTTAAGGGTCCACATGGGGAACATAGAGAGTCAGAACGTATCCACCTTCTTGTCCTATTTGTGACATCATATGTGATGAGGAGGCTGTATTACATCACTGTCACACCACTTTTACGCCAAGGGTTCATTTCATTAGATTATTGCAAGACTTACTGTAGACCCAGAGGATCGTATCTATAAAATAACCATCTATGATTTATCTTTGTAACCATTGTTTTATTTTATCTTTTGTTTGCTTTGTTTTTGTTTTTACACTCCAGAACATACTAAAGTGATTTCAGCTTTCTTTAATTACTGGATCACACAAGTCTTTCCTGAGAAAAAGAGTGAATAAAATTAGTATATCTCTTTAAGAAGAGCTATATTTAACATGAAGATGTAAGAGAAAGATATGAATTGGACTGACACTTATTCTATGTACAAAAAAATTAAGTTCCCAACATTTTTTGAAGCTTAAATCTTGGAGAATTAAATACATTGTTTATTCCTGTGTTTGTATATAATGGATAAAATGTCTTTTGAATATTTAAATGAGAATTTGGGGTAAAATTTAAAACTTTTCACTTACTTTCGATTGTATTTGTCTTGAATTACAACAGAAAATGATTTCTTTATTCTTGTAAAAATCCGAAATTGACATTCTGTTCAACTAACTTGAAGTTGTTATATATTTTTTATAACATTGTAAATCACCTTGTGGCTAAAAAAAAATGTTTAAGAATGCCTTAATAGAAACCAGGCACTGGTGGTTTATGCCTGTAATCCTAGATGTTCAGGAGGCTGAGATCTGAGGATAGGTGTCCAAAGCCAGTGTTGGCAGGAAAATCCATGAGATTCTTATCTCCAATTAAACAAAATGAAATGCTGGAAGTGGACTTGTGATTCAAGAGGTAGAGCACTAACTTTAAACAAAAAAAAAGCTCAGTGACAGCACCCAGGCCCTGAGTTCAAGCCCCA